GATTGGAGGTGGAAGGGGGGGGGGGGGGGGGGGGGTGGGGGGGGTTACATTTTAGAAGGATCATGAATAACAGAAGTCTCTCGTATTTTTCCAATGGTCAATATTGTATGAAACAGTCCGGAATCAATCAAAATATTCCTTGTCTCGACCCTTTTCGATTATACTCGTAAAGTGGATGAAAAACACAATCCATTGCTCATTAAATTCTCTTATTCATGKATTCAACATGGGGCGAACATTGCTTTGTTGATTTTTTATTTTGTATTCTGCAACTAGTTAATAAGTGGGTGCAAATTCAAGTTATTTAGTCATTGCTCAGTCATCTGAGGGAATTTTCTTTTTAGATAAAACTAATAAGCACGAAAAGATAAAATCCGTATCTCCAATTAAGAGACCATGTAATATTTTGTTCATCATACAATCATCTATGAAGGCAAATTATAATGTAAAATAATTTTTATTAACCTCATATATAYACATGTAGATATACCACGAGTATGATATTAAGTTCACTATAAATAACAAATATCAGCTTCTCGAAAGAGAGAAAGATTTATCATATAATTATCTGTGAAATATCTAAATTTCTCCATTTCGTAAACTTGATATTTTCGCCGTAGTAACATGTTATTTTCACTAGTGAAAATAGCACATTCGAGGTTTCTCTATATAGTGGAAGTAAGGAAAAGGTATTTTACCGCATAAWTTTTTTTTATATTTAATTACATGTTCGTTTTGAGATACGAATTTTATCTTCTCGTGTTGAAAATCTCTCTCTTTTTTCAACATTCGAAGATAAAATCCGTATCTCCGCGCGCCCATGTAATATCCTGTATATTATATACACCATACGCGTATCCTGAATTTTCTCTCTTCCTCTTAGTTATACAAGGAAACTGAGGGAAAGAATCAAGGTGTTTAGTTTTAAGGAAGTGGTAAGCACCTCCTGTAACCATCTGCTGAATCTGCCATTGACATGTCTAAATGATAATGAAGCTTAAGAATTCGTATAATGGCCATAAAAATAATTTCTATGAATTAAACYAATGCTTTATAACCAATTTAAAATATAAACAAACTTGTTGCCAATTAAGATTAAAATGGCTGAAAATGTAGAGCGTTAAGGACAATTTAAGTATAAAACAATAATGAATTTCTATAGTGGGGCGAGATGGGGAATGAGTACTTTATTAATCACTTAGCAGAAAAAAGAGCCCTAAACTGAATGGCGAACCGTATAACACCGGGGAAAACACCGTGGATAAGGACAATGAACTCGTTTGAACTATTTTAACAGATCTTTTCACGGTTGTGTGAGATGCTCACGAATACCCTTCCGTGAAATAGAGTCTTTTGATGACTGTCGCTTGCACATCGCATATGCAGACATTTGAAACACTTAGCTGTTTTTATGATCTTTTCTTTGTTTTTTAACTTTTGTATATAAAATTATATAAAAATAATCATTTTCTTTTTTGGTTATATACAGGAAGATTCTATTCTATAATTTTGAGAATTGAAAKTACAATATAATAATATTAAGGTTGAAGCAAACGTGCTGACTTTATTGTATCTTTAAAGAAATGTTATTTTAATATAATTTCTGTCGTAAGTTGTTATTCATGATTAACAAAATAACAAATAACAAYAAGAACGATAAACCAACATYATCCGAGTGATTTTTGATATGTTAGACAGACGTATACTGCTGCGCGCTGTTAATTAGAAGTTTAAAATAATTCAAAACTACGACAGAAAAAAAGAAAAGAAAAAAAAAAAAAGAAAAGAAAAGAAAAATAAAAGGAATTACCACAAATATCGCAAAAGATAATTATATTACCTTGCCCACGCTAAAACACCCGTCAGTCTGTTTTTTTGAGCGCGTTCTGAGTTTCATGCAAACAAATGTAAATATTAATAATAATAATGATAATGATAATAATAATAATAATAATAACGAATAAAATAGGTAATTAAATGAAATAAAGTTGTGCAAAAAGAGGGTTTTACATGTGTGCGCAGATATTAAGTAATGTTTACAACACTTACACTATTCCACAAATAAAATTGTGTTAACTGATTTCAATCTTTTTACTCCGACGAAGGATTAACGGTTCGAAACGTCAGYTAGTTATTTCACCTATTTTGTACGGCATTAAATTTCTTTTTAAACAACTGTGTYAACTGAAGGTTACTATATCTCGGCGAATACAATACAACTCCGCTTATAAGATCCTTCATTTTTTCATAATTAATAGAGGAGAATGGTTTGGAAACCTTTTGTTGTACTTCTTTTGTACACGTATTTTGAGGATGAATTAGTTAAGTCGATCGTATACACCTTTTTTTTTTCGGATGATGGAAATTGCAAAATGACTAAACATAAACACCCTCTGTGAGGTTATGAAATGATAATTTAAATATTGGTAAAAAATGTTTAATTAAATAATTAGTGACCAGTATGGCTAAAACAATAGTTAAACAAAAGATTGTGTGCTGTCACGCTAGGAAAGAAGTGCACAAAAACCTACAACAAAAGTTGTAGTCAAGTCAACCTGAACTGTTTTTTTATAAAATGGGGCTTGACTTGAAAGGGTTTTTGGTTTATGAAATATGKTTTTTGCATAAAAGAGTGCTTGCAGATAGAGACTGTTCGGTAGTAGCTATTAATATAATCTTATTTTACAGACACARTTCAGTCTTAAATACAGAGTGCTATGTTTTATCAACCAATCTTTCTTTAGAGTGCGTCCCTTGAGATTTGCTAGAGCTTCATTAATTAGAAATTGATATCACTAGCTATTTTGAGGTATATAACGACGGCTAACTTTTCAAACTGTTCAATACAGCTTATGGTTATTTATCATATTACGGCGAKCACCTAGCGCAAGCTGCTWATCGATAGTACAAGCGTGGTGATGGAAAATAATATCATTGGTTTTGGTGTTGTTGCAAAGTCTTGCAAGCCGTGTGCAGGTGATTCAATTTCATATTAGTAATAATACATATTGCGGTTTTCTCTGGTTATATAAGACTGATGTACGGTGTAAGGTACAAGTCTCGCTAGTCGGCTGTATCCATTTAACGTAACAGAACAAATCAAGTATGAAGGCTATCGTGGTCATTGCTATTGCTTTCTTGGCCATTTCCTCTGGTAAGAACTAAAAACAGGGTCTTAATGGGGGGGTCTCAATGTCGATAGTCAGTTAAAATTTCAAGCATTTGTCACTAGTCAGTTAAAATTCTAGGCATTTGTCGGTAGTCGGTTATTGAAAAAAAGTTGATAAACATTAGGTTTAAATGCATCTAACACGGTGCTTTATACCAACAGAATTCTTTCTAAAATGCCAACAATTGAATCCTTGAGTATTGATTGGTCAATTGGATGCCCCTCAAAGTTTTAGAGTGGCTCATCACAACTCCAAGAAGCCAATCCGAAGGAAAATTTATTTTTTTCCACAGAAAATTTCGAATGTAGTTGCTTGAAAAATAAAAAAAGCTTTTCACGGAGCTAACATCTTTGAATATTGGAAAATGTCGCCAGTCAGTAAATTTCGTTAATGTTATTTTGTCCATTTGTCGCTAGTCGGTTAACCCCATTCAGACCCTGTAAAAAGATATAATTAATTCTTTTTTTCAATCATTTTTTTATCAGAAAGTTTTTATTGCTGACTTTCCTTTCCTGTGCTTAATAGCGTTCGCATCAAACTGATATAAGTTATTTTTTATATTGAAGCTTTGAGAAAATAAGTCAAATCTGCCTGCTAGTATTCTGCACAATTGATATTATTTCTGGTAGAGAAGGGGGAATTTGAGATTTTTTAAAAGTTTTTTTAAAAATCTGCGTTCGTTATTGTGTGCATTTTATACATTTCTTTTTCTTTYTTAGTTCCCTTTATTTCTGTGATGCCAAATTTTGTTTGCCAAATTTGCTAAAATGGTGGTCAAAAATTCGGACAGCATTTGACTTTAGCTAGTGGCTCTTCAGCCTACTTCGGCAACCGGCGAAAAAAAAAGAAAAAAAAAAAAAGAAAAAACAAGAAAAAAAGGAAGATAATTGGTCTATCAGGGTTAAGGATATAATACTTTATAGTGAAGAAGTTATAATTTATAGTGGCGTTAGAGCTCTTAAGATTTTTTTTTAGTGATTTTCCTTGTTTCCCCTCTTCAGGTTTGACAGTGCTGGTTGCAATTATGAAGGAATTGTAAAACAAAAGCAAAACATAAAAAAATTGTTTTTAATACCTGAGATTTTCAAGCATTTCCAGGACCTTTATCATTACTGTTTTCTTTCAGGGAACTCAGTCCACAATCTCAGATTTGATGAGCTGTTAAGAGCGCCAGAAGATACTTCCCAGCCTCTARATTTTGAGAAGAGGTATCAAATCGTGAGTGGTAAGCCATTAATMTCAATCTATAATAGTAGTTTAAACGTACATCCTGCGGGCRAGYGAGGTTCAGCACTACAATCTTCYGCAAAATAWATGTGTCGCTTGCTCCCCTACATCTGTACAAAGTTGTGTTGATGGCTCTGATAAGTATTCCCGAGAAATCATGGMTTTATGTAGCTTGAAAGCAATATTGCTGGAAGGAGGGTTTGAAAGACGTAGAAAATCGAAGTTACTTATTTATTTTGAAATTCATTAATAATTCACAAGGTAAACACAATGGAAAATCATTGCCAWGAMCGCATCTTTATATGAGCAAGAGATTTGTCGTGATTTGCATAYCACCTATATTCCTTCCTATTTTTTAACATTCAGTTAAAACGCTGCTTTTTTTTCCTAATAAAGAATGTTCAAATTATAAATTTGGGTGTTGTCCTGATGATAAAACTCCACGTAATGGCTATCGCAATGAAGGATGTGGAGGTGAGCATAACTGTATTTATTCATATTAGTGTCTGTTTAATTTCGACATTTTTTTTATAGTGCGATTATCAGAACACATGAAATCCATACTTACTTTATATAGTTAATGCATGTCGCATTGATAGTCGTCAGTTTTATTCCGGTATTGTGAGTCAGGTAAAATTAATCTCTTTTTCGAGAATGATATTTTTCGAGAATAATCGGTTTTCATTTAAATTTCTGTTTTGCTGCATTTTAATAACAGCAACAAAAACTGAATAACTTCCAGACAATAATAATATGTATAGGTAATAGATGGTTTCGAGTTCAATTTGGAATTAATTTGCACGAGTTTGTTTTTCAAAGAGGCCATAATTGCAAGTGTTGAAAGTGTTGAAACTGTACTGAATTCCATCGAGCTGGACGGGTGAGGAAAGCGAGACTATTTTTGATGCAAAATCGTCTTAAAATGRTAACTAGCAAGCTTGAAACTTCACAAATACAAAATCCTAGTCCAATTCTTCAGTGAGAAGGCTTTTGTTATTTCTTTTRAGCAGTTGTTKATAGTTTTTGAGTACTTTTTTCTCTGTAATCGGCGAAGTGTCCACAATCTTGGATTCTTGAGAAAAKTTTTCAGTTACAACGAAAGCTTGATTCTTATTGGCTGAAATCATTTCTTTTGTTTCTTAGCCAAGCAAAAGCGCAAATTTGTTTGTAATTGCATTGATATTACAATTTTTTGCACTGCTCAGTATGTTGTAATTGCACTGCAGAAATGTAATTGCACTGAATTAAGAGTTAATTGAGATGTCATCAGCCAATCAGAATTGAGTAATTTTTTCATGTATATYATTAATCATGAAATAGCCACAGACTTGCAATAAACCTACAACTGAAGCTATCMAYATTTGAATCGCAGGTAACAAAATTTCACACAGCGTTTACTGTATAGGCAGCTGCAACTTCTTATGGCACAGTTTCAGTGTTTTCTGTAACCATAATTCATTTTTTCTTTATTTTTTTTTAACTTCCAGTAAAACTGTGCATCGATGAATCGGTTTCTTTCTGTGGAAAAGTAACCCAAAACCAATGTCGTAATTCTCCAACAATCTACAAGAAGTGTCATTACAAATGCAACCCTCAGTGCAGAAGTAAGTTTGATCACTATCAAAGTTTTCACTCATGTCATCAAATCACATGTGGAATTATTTTTGATATTATCATGACAGTGCACATATTTCTCTTTTAGTCCGCTCTGATCATATCATAGATTAAACTATAGAATTTCATATGGGTTATGGTAATGCAAGCTTGATTTATTCTATCTATTTAGAATCTGCGAGCGCGAGATTATGTAGGAGTCCTTTTGGCTGTTGTTGGAATGGATTGCCTAAAAGTCCCTTCATTAGATGCCCAGGTGAGAAGTATATAGCAGACGTCTTTACACCTGTATTTCTACGGTTCTCCTTCCTGCATCTTGCGTTTTGCATAAGTTNTTTTCAGTTACAACGAAAGCTTGATTCTTATTGGCTGAAATCATTTCTTTTGTTTCTTAGCCAAGCAAAAGCGCAAATTTGTTTGTAATTGCATTGATATTACAATTTTTTGCACTGCTCAGTATGTTGTAATTGCACTGCAGAAATGTAATTGCACTGAATTAAGAGTTAATTGAGATGTCATCAGCCAATCAGAATTGAGTAATTTTTTCATGTATATYATTAATCATGAAATAGCCACAGACTTGCAATAAACCTACAACTGAAGCTATCMAYATTTGAATCGCAGGTAACAAAATTTCACACAGCGTTTACTGTATAGGCAGCTGCAACTTCTTATGGCACAGTTTCAGTGTTTTCTGTAACCATAATTCATTTTTTCTTTATTTTTTTTTAACTTCCAGTAAAACTGTGCATCGATGAATCGGTTTCTTTCTGTGGAAAAGTAACCCAAAACCAATGTCGTAATTCTCCAACAATCTACAAGAAGTGTCATTACAAATGCAACCCTCAGTGCAGAAGTAAGTTTGATCACTATCAAAGTTTTCACTCATGTCATCAAATCACATGTGGAATTACTTTTGATATTATCATGACAGTGTACATATTTCTCTTTTAGTCCGCTCTGATCATATCATAGATTAAACTATAGAATTTCATATGGGTTATGGTAATGCAAGCTTGATTTATTCTATCTATTTAGAATCTGCGAGCGCGAGATTATGTAGGAGTCCTTTTGGCTGTTGTTGGAATGGATTGCCTAAAAGTCCCTTCATTAGATGCCCAGGTGAGAAGTATATAGCAGACGTCTTTACACCTGTATTTCTACGGTTCTCCTTCCTGCATCTTGCGTTTTGCATAAGTTGTAATCTACAGTCGTTTTCGTATGAGTGGGAAACGGTGATGACGAATCACGTCCGTACCATAACCGTACAGTAACTGTATCGTATTCATGGATTCTGATTTGTTGGAATTTTTTCTGACCACATCTGATTGGATTGATTTGTATGAACCGTAGTTTACCGAACCGTAATTTCGATCGTTGATTGGATGAATACGACACTTGTCGTAACGCGCGTTACGGTACCGTAAGCTGTATCGTAAGTTCGATCGTTGATTGGGTAAATACGGTGCTCGCGTGATACCGTACTATAGCCGTATCGTGAGCGTGATTCCTGATTGGCTGGGAGACTTTCTACTGACAACTGGTCTACGTAATCTTGTCACACAACACCTAGTTKCTGAATTCTCGGCACCTGTTTTTGCGAAGTTTTGGACACAGAAAATTCGATCAGAAAAGCCTTTTAAGGATGAATGTCAATGGGAATCAGTTTATTGTAAGTATAGTTAGCTCAGTAGGTACAGCATCGGACTTTAGTGCGGGAGGTCGCAGGTTCAAACTCCRGCCGGACCAACACTCAGGGTCTTAAAATAATTGAGGAGAAGTTGCTGCCTTTGTCTTTCTCCATCTGCAAATGGTAAGATCTTCGCGTCCTCTCGGATAACGACGTAAAATCGGAGGTCCCGTCTATCTACACTTCACTCACTAACCTGTATTAGAGGGACGTTAAAGAACCCACACCACTGTTCGCATAAGAGTAGGGAATGATTCCCGGTGTGTGTGGCTAGGCCTTACTACTAACCCATACTAATTACTAGCCCCTCATGATTGTAAGCCGCGTGGCTGCCAATTGCGCCTTAAACAGCGGYCCGTGTGATATGATCTATACATGTGAAGCGCCTGTGAACTCAGAGGATATCGGCGCTATATAGATACCACATATTAWTATATTATTATTATTATTAAATTTAAGGAATCCGTATCGTAGCCGTACCGTAGCTGTATCGSGTCAGCATCGGTTTCCCACTCATACGAAAAAGACTCTATAGCTTGCATAAAGTTTCAGACAACACATTTTYCTGGACCGTTGACATGACTTGACAACTGATCAATTATTTTGAGAAGCAATTTCCAGCCTGCAAAAGTCATTAAAACAAGAGTCTTAATATAAATTTTTTTCTCATGTTGGAACTTTTATTTCTAAATACGAGTCATTTAAAATTGAGAATTAAAATGAAAATTGTATTTATAATTCTTCTTCAGAATGTATGGACACTCCAGAAATGTCTCATATCTGCCATCAGTTTAAGAACGTAAGCGAAGGCTGTAACTCTGGTGACTATGGAATTAGGAACTTCTTAGAAGCTCATTGTGCCATAACTTGTGGACAGTGCAGAAAATAGAGAACGTTAATCTAACAATCCAAAATCGATATAAAATTGATTTAATTCGTACCGATAAGGTAATGTGCAGTCCTCAACACGTATGTAAACCTATTTTTTCCTGATAAAGAGGTGATCTCTGGTCAGACTGAATCCAATGTAACAAATGTAAGCGCTATAATATAACATAAGAAGTGATAAGGTTATAATAAAGTAATATAAAATGAAAAACGTAGTATACTTTTAATATTATTAAAATCGATGGTTCCAACCCACCTCTAACTCTTGATTAACAAAAGAATTTTTTTTCAAAAAATAAAAAATAAAAAGAAGATACATTTAGATATAACACGCATTTTTAGAACACAAAATAACATTATGATTAAGAAATATCTATTTCTTGATTTGTTGCTGTTTAACCTGAGTATCAGGCCCCCTCGAAGGCCTGATACTCAGGTTAGTTGCTGTTGTAAGTTGYTGTTAAACTTGTAGCTGTTGACTCAGTTGTTTTTATTGACTTGCATCGACTATCCTGCATTCTTAATCCATAATCGTTTTTTATTRGACAAATATACTCGACTCACGCAGTAATAAACGCATGGTTTTAAACACAGGTAACCCAGGCTCAATAGCTTAGCATGAAATATGTCGTTCGCACATGTACAATTTTTTTTTGCCTAAATGATATTATTCTAACATAAATAAAACGTCTCTTACCTTCCTGGTTGAAAATCTTTCGTTTTTTTAAAAGAGGTTTTACGCCATTTTTGATATGCCATTGTTTAACCTACTTATATTAATACAAGGTCGGAAACTGCACGCAAAGATTTCCAACAGTAACTCTACTTGCACTCGATTTTTTTTGTCAAAATCCATACTTTTGTCCACATTTAACTGCTCCACAATAAACATGAATGTCCAAGGATTCTTTTGAAGCTCTTCGTCAATGAATTGCTTTTCGGGAAGTTGTTTTTATCGGCCGTTGAATTCTAATATCCGGACTAAAGTAATGCTGACTAAAACTAATTTGGTCCGGAGGAACAGGAGTCCCAAAAGAAGAGAGTATTCTCAAATTGGATTGGCTGATTTCTAGCAAAAGGCTATATAAACACTTTAAATCTACGGGGGACATTGCTCAACAATTGCGAGACGAGGCGGGGGAGGGTACAATCGAAAGCAACCAATAGGACGCCAGCCGCTCTCGTAGGGAAAACTTGCTCTACTTAATTTTAAGCCTTAATAAAACACTACATTGTTAGGGACGCATGGGTGGCCGAGCGGTGAGAGCGCTGGCCTGTCACCTCTGTGGACCCTGTTCGAATCTCGGTCGGGGCGCCAWATGTGATTTGAGTTTCTTTCGTTCTCTCCCTTGCGTCGAGGGTTTTTCCGGGTCTTTCCGGGTTTTCCTCCCTCAGTAAAAACRAACCATTTCTATCTGCTGTGCTCCGCGTTCAGTCGTTCGTTGCTATGTAAAGGAAGCGCCTAGCCGGCAGCACGCCTATGTGTAAGTGTATGTAAAATGTGTATGTAATATAGCACTTCGACTTGAAAGCGCGTCRAGCTGCGTCTTTCGCAATTCAGCACCCGTGCTGCCATGAAGGACGATTAGCAACCAACACCTTTTCCCTTTTTCCCTTTTCCACTACATACGTAAAAGATAAATATTAAGAAGTGGTGCTGTATTTGTATCTTAGGGAATTCTCAACTGTAAAATACGATTTTAGCTGGAGAAACTACTTATTGGATAAGAGGTTTTAATACAAAAGAAACTTTGTTTCAAAATAGAGTTTATCCACATTTTATTTCAAAAATTTGTTACCCAGAGATGGATACATAATCAGTGTGAAAACCAAGACTTAAAACTAAGTAGCTTAAACAATGGCATATCAAAAATGGCGTAAAACCTCTTAAAAACGAAAGATTTTCAACCAGGATGGTAAGAGACGTTTGATTTATGTTAGAATAATATTATTTAGGCAAAAAAAAAAAAAAAAAAAAAAAAAAT